AATGTAGTCTCCGTGATATAACAAAAGATAGCAGGGAAGAAAGGATGAAAAAAAATAAAACAAGCACCTAGTACGATTTTTTTTTTAAAGCACAAACATGACAGTCAAGGACAAAATGTAAATGGGTGACACACCCTTTAAACAAGAATGCTCGGTGTGGGTCAGAAGACTCAAACTGAAACTATATGTTGCGTATCGGAGACACAATTGTAACAAATGAACTCAAGAAAATTCAAAGCCAAGGGACGGCGCAGATAAATAGGAGGGCCTCGACTTCCATGCATCGAGTCCCAGGCAGCCCACGCAATCATGACTGACACCCTCAAAACCACAGAATGCAGACAGCAGCTGACTGCCAGCCAGCAGCCGGTGGCACCCCCACTTTTGCATCCATAGCCATTTTTTTTTCAGTTTACTTGTGCCATTATTTAAATATTTCTTTGCAGAGGCTCTCAGTGGGTATTCTCAAGGACATTTGGGGTCCTCCAGAGCATTCGAAGGAGGGTGAGCAGCATTGATGCTTGGGGTCACTGCACAGTCGCAACGAGGCCGCCCTGACTTGGTCTCTATTACTTACTGGACTTCTGGGTAATATTAGGTCTGAATAAAGGGTTTGGCTGCCTTTGAAAACCAGTATTTAATTACACTTTGCTCCCATTGTTTTGTAAATATGTGGAAAATGGAAAAACAAGGTTGCTGACCGCTGTGGTAAGAGCACAGGTCTCCTTTATACTTAGGAAATTAGTATAAACGTGGAAATCGTTAGGCGGACCCAATGTGGCTGGTCTTTGGCCCCAATAATTAAATTTAAGGCAGTCGACTGCATGTTTGAAAAGAACAAAACTAAAGCACATCCATAGAATGGTAGGAATGGCCTGGAATATTGAGCTGTCAAGGAGCAAAGTTCTTTGGAACACGCAATTCTCCGGTTCAACTTTCAAACAACACTTTGCCTTCATTACAGGTTTTCAGAAACAATTACATGAGCAAGTGAGGTTCTGTAGCTTAAAAACACAATGAAACGAAGACAGATGTGCTTCTGTGATTTCAAGTCATTAAACACCTCTCAGAGAGGGAAGGGATGATCTACAACAATGACAGAGCACTCATGAACATTTGCATTAGAAATAAAATAGCACCCAAAAAAGGAGAAATAAGAGACATAGTTTCCAAAACTCTTTCAGTCCTAAAAACGTCAAACAGGTAAAAAGTAAATGATAAAAATACCTCAACTCTAGAAGCAACCACGAGCTTAATGGAAAATGAGAAAAATGGGAAAGAGCCCACCTCATCAACATTAGGTCACACTGTCCAAAAGGTTCTAACTGATGTAATGAAACAAGCAAAACCCAGATAAGTCTCATAAACCCTTAGATTGAGATTCAAAATACGGTTGCTTATAGATTACATAATTATTTACTAAGAAAATCCAAATAAACACTGAAAAGCTAATAAAACTAAATGTCTTTACATCAAAATCCATACCTTATAAACAATGAGTACATCTTACTTTTAAAGGCCCACAAAAAACATTTACAAAATCGATTATATTATGCACGAAAAAGACATCAATAAATTTCCCCAAAGTAGAATTTATATGTCCACATTCTCAAGCCACAAGAAAAGATAACCACGATTGAATTAAAAGTATAAACAACGTACAACTTAGAAACATTAGAAATGAGTTTTTTAAAATCAGCTCTACTTTTGCACATTTAACTCAGATAATCATTTCTTCCAATAAGAAGAAGAAATGAGAAGCGTTATAACACATATTTTAAGGTACTGAAGACTACATATTAAAACGTGAAAATGCAGTCAAAATTGCAAACAGAAGCAAGTTTCATATTTTCATTATTAAAGAAGACTAACAATAGGGCATATATGGACAAATCCATAAAACAAACTTAAAGAAAGCAGAAGAAAGAAATCAGTAAAGACAGACATTATTTAATTTGAACACAGGCACACAAAAACCAGTTGAACTGACAAGTTATCCCAAGAACAGATTATTTGAAAAACCTCTAAAATAGATACTCTTCTAGCTCATCTGGTACCAGAGAGATAAAGTATGCATATACAAAATTAAGAATGGAAAAAGTGATTTAATCATAGAAATAAATTAAAATTCTAGTATAAAAGTACTATTTATAACCCTATGTGAATAAATGTTTAAATCTCAGAAAAATGGATTCTTTCTAGGATAAATAATATCTAAAAACATGCGCCAGAACCAGTGCAAGGTACTCTCTTAATCCTCACACAGGTCCTCTTAGGGCTCTTGCAGGCTTTTGTTTTAATCACTTAACAAATGAGGAAACTAACATCTAGGGAAGTGACACAGTTTCCTCATCACGTAGAAAACGAGAGAGCCCAAATCATTTGTCTGATTCCAGTGCCTGCGCATTTAAGCACTGAGCTATATTAGAACAAGAAGCAAAAATTCTAAAGATGTAGAAAACCCAAAGAATCCAATAAATACAGAAGAAATAAGAGATGTTGCCAAAGACTTATCCCAGGATAGTTACATAGGTGAGTTCTTTCAAGCTTTCATGGACTAAAGCATTCAAATAATGCATATATGGTATAGAACACAGGAAAAGATGGAATGTTCCCTAATTCATTTTACAAAGTCAGCATAACTTTGGCACCAAACTTCAACAACAAACAGATCTGGAAAATTCTAAATGAAATATTAGCCTAGCAAATCTTGTAGTACATTAAAACAACAATACACCATGATCAAGTAGAATTCAATCCAAAAATGTTTCCAAGTTATAAAACACTATTTTAGTTTATTGCATCAACAGATCAACAGAGAAAAACAACATGAATATCTCTACAGATGTCAAAGAAGCATTTCATAAAATTCTAATGCCAATACTGATTTCAAAGTCTTATTTAAAGTCTTACATAAACTCAGAATAAATACTTCATTTATTTAAAAAATCTGAACTAAAAAATGATTTGCAACCATACTTAAGTGAACCAGAAACAAGACAAGATTTCTGTTATCAATAATAGAATGTTTTAGAAGATCTAGCCAATGCTATAAGACAAGGAAAAGACATAGATGAGATAAAATGACAGACAAAAATTGCATTATATAGATATGAATTGCTTTTTTTTTTTTTCTTTTTTTGAGACGGAGTTTCACTCTTGTTGCCCAGGCTGGAGTCCAGTGGCACGATCTCAGGTCACTGCAACCTCCACCTCCTGGGTTCAAGAGATTCTCCTGCCTCAGCCTCTCAAGTAGCTGGGATTACAGGCACGTGCCACCATACCCAGCTACTTTTTTTTTTTGTAGATATGGGGTTTCACCATGTTGGCCAGGCTGATCTCGAACTCCTGACCTCAGGTGATCCGTCCACCTTAGCCTTCCAAAGTGCTGGGATTACAGGAGTGAGCCATTGTGCCCAGCCATGAATGACTCTTTACCTAGAAATTCCAAAACACTCAACTAGAAACTTGCAGAACAAATTAGAGAATTCCATAAGATGAACAGTAACAATGAATATATAGACAGTTTCCTACATACCAATAACAACCAGTTAGAAAATATAAAGAAAATGGATCAAATTCACAATAGAAGCCATATTTCATTCCTTGAAATAAGAACAACAAATCTTGAATTTGTCAAATTTGACAATTTACGAATATATATGTACATAAAACCACAAAGTATCATGCAAAGCCTGTTTCAAAAAATATCAACTTTCCTTAAAATTGACAGTTTTATAAAAGTTCCACACAGTATTCATAAAGAATGTTTTTAACTTCACAACATCTCTACAGTTCATCTGAAAGAATATACAAGTAAGACTAACAGAGAAAATCTTGAAAAATGAGAGTTGAGGAAGACTATTGCTGCTGAGTAATAACACATTTTAACAATATGACATATTAAAACAAAGCAATGACAAACCAATGGATAATGGAAAACCAGAACAAGAATCCAAACTATAAAAGTATCTAGCATGTAGTAAATGTGGAAGTGAAACAAAGTTATTTCTCACAATAATTAAGTTGATAAGTAGAGATTTAAATATAAAAGACGAAATCATAAAAGAGCTCAAAAAAATTAAAGTCCAGTTTGGGAAAGGCCTTTCTGAGCTAAAAGAAAAATGCAAATGAAGAAACTATAAGGAAAAATTAATGATAAATTTTTAGAACATAATAATTTTTAAAATAAAAAAATATTAACAAAATGGAATGGTAAATGAAAAAGTGGGGAGCCTGGTAATATATGATAGAAAAGAGTCACCATTCTTGTTAAAAAGGCCTTACAAAATCAAAATTAAAAATGAACACACCGATAGAGCAAAATGGGTAAACAACTTCCAGTTCAAAGTGGTAAACTGAATGAAGCTTGGCTACTCTGCAGGGAGCAAACAGTTCAAAACACCTGTTATTATTATCAGAGATTAAAGAAGCAATTGCATTCATAAAACAAATGTAATATTTAGAATATAATTTAAAAATTAAAAATGAGAAATACGAAAGCAGAAATGAAAATAGTTAAAACATAAAGATAGGGAAATCCCTTTTAGAAACAGAACAAGAAACTTAAAGTTGAAAATCAAAGGAACAATATGGGAATATTAGAAAGCTAGTCAAGGAGTTCCAACATACGAAAAATAGAAATGCTAGGGAGAGAGGCTGGGCTCGGTGGCTCATGTCTGTAATCCCAGCACTTTGGGAGACCAAGGTGGGTGGATCACTTCAGCTCAGGAGTTCAAGACCAACACGGTGAACCCCCCTGGCCAACATGGTGAAACCCCATCTCTACCAAAAATACAAAAATTAGCCAGGTGCGGTGGCACACACCTGTAATCCTAGTTACTTGGGAGACAGGCAGGAGAACTGCTTGAACCTGGGAGGCAGAGGCTGCAGTGAGCTGAGATTGTGCCACTGCACTTCAGCCTGGGCAACAGAGTGAAACTCCATCTCAAAAAAAAAAAAAAAGAAAGAAAGAAAAAGAAAAAAAGAAACGGCAGGAAGAGAAAACAAATATGAGGAAATGATCCAACCAGTTGTTTAACACAAGTTTCTAGAACTGAAGGACAAGTGTCTTCGGATTAAAAGAACCTGGAAAAATGGATAAACATAGATCTACATCAAGACAAAAACATGTGAAATTTTAAAACATTGGAAGACAATGAGAAAGTTCTACAAGTTCCAGAAAGGAAGAAAACAAATCACATAGAAGGGATGAGGAATCACTAAGACTTAAGACCTCTCGCCAATAGCATTGAAAGTCACAAGATAATGATTTATGCTTTCAAAATCTGAGCCAAAATAAAAGAAGGTTTCCAACTTCGAATTCTATACCCGGCCGAACTTTCAATGTCAATGTGGACTAGACATTTTCCTTTTTAGAGGCGAAAGGTCTCTAAAAATTTACCTTCCATTAAGCATTTCTACAGAAGCTGCTAGAGGATGCACTCTAGCAAAACAAGGGAGTAAGCCAAAAAGGATGATAACACAGAATCTACAAAAGCAGGTAATCTACAAAATCCAGCTAAGGAGAGAGGCTCAAAGGAATCCTCAGAAGGAGAACGTCAAAGAGATACTAAGATGGTGTCCAGAAGCCTAAAGATTACCCAGTTTACAACAAAACCAGCCAGGAGGCTCTAGGAAGATATTTCTAGATAGGATAAAACACATTTTAAAAAATTAAAAATAATGTGTATATATTGAAAGGCTAGTAATAAATCAGCTAGGCTTATAAAAAAAACTAACCAACCAATCAAAGAGAAAAAAATACAAGGTAATTATTAACTCCCAAAGAAAAAATAGTCACGAAGGAAAGGTGAATCGTAGTGCTATGTTGCTCAGAATTCAGCAGTGCTTACACTCACATAAAAAGGTGAACTCTGAATTTGGATCAAACCCAAACTACGTACTAAAAATATTGAGGATGGTGCACAGAAAGAAGAAAGGAGGGCACAGTGACACCAAGGAGTCAAATCCTCATCTTCTACAGTCGCAAAGTCAAGATAATGCCTACGCCTCAAAAAAGAAAAAGAAAATCAAGAAGTAGAAGAGAAAAACAATGTGACTTGGATATACAAATGTAAATGTCAAGAGAACCAGTGAAAGGAGTTAGAAACTATTGGTTCCACTAAGCAGAAATTAGGGTGGAGCTGGGAGGGCTGGAGGCCTGATCCTGATGCTCTGCAAGGATCCTGTGGAACTCTTTGACTCTTAAAACGATGCATATGCATGTCTTTGATGAAAATAAAAACTAAATGAAAAATGAAAAGAACCTGAACTGGCAATTCAGATACAGATAACCAAAAAAGATAGGGAGAAATGTTCTTTATCACAGGTAATAAAATGATTGCCAATGAAAAGAACAAAATGCTGTGTTTTGACAAATTGACAAAGGTAATCAACCTTGATAATTCCCAGAAAAACAGGTACTTTTAAACTAATTCTGAGAATGTCAGTTGATACAAGTGTTAAGAGGGCAATTTGGCCATAAAACGCTCACAGCTTTTGACACGACATTTCACATTTAGAATGAACTGCAGAAGGTGAATCAGACATGTACGTGAGAAAGAATAAACAGATGTCTGCCCCAACTTACACAATCCAACTTCTAAATAATACTCAATAAAAGCAAACCAATTAAATTAATTACAATATAGCCATTTGCTAGAATCCTATGTAACCATTAAAAAGCACAAGATAAGAAATTGCTTAATGGCATGGGAAATGTTCAGGATATATAATTAGTGGAAATAAAAAACAGGATGGCAATGATGAACTCAATTAAGCACGTACAGCCACATACACACCTAATTTATAGAAGAAAGCAAAAGGCAGAGGCTGGCCACCAATATGTTGGCAATGGTGATCTCTGAGTGGAGGAACTAGGGAGATTCTTGCTCTTACACTTGTCCAATATTTCAATATTGTTCAAGCTTTTTATAATAAACATGTATTGCTTTTTTAATGGGAGAAATATTTTTAAAAATTACGTGCAATAAATGTTAGCCATTAGCTGAGGCTGTTTCATGGGGAAAACGTACGTGATCCCTGCTTATCGCACTCTCCATTACGGTAATGAATTAATGGAATGCAATTAGCTACATAATTTTTAAAAGAGCCTTCGGGCAGGAGTGTGAACGTCACCCTGAGCCCCATCTCAAGCTGGCATCTGGTCAGCTGCAAAGTCAACACGCCTCCTGCCACTTAGGTGGGACCAGAGATAAGGGAATTCTCTAGCCAGCCCTGCCCTCCACGCAGAGAAGCAGCTGTGAGCAATGACCCAGCCTCTGCTTGCGAATGTTCTTGGTGAGAAGCACATGCATTCTGGCCCCTCTCTGAGGCCATCACAGGCGCTCCAGCCTGTCACAAAGCCCATCTTTGACTGCCTATCATCTAGCACGAGTTTGGCCCTTAGTCACAGGTATACAAGTATTTCAGAGCGTAACCAGGAAAAGCAGCTCACCCAGCAACACAGACGCTGAGCCCATCACCGTCATCCTCTGGAAGCGTGGCTCAGCCACTGCACCTTCACAGGCTCCAGGCAGGAGGACCTTCCAAGACAAGAGGGGAGAGGCACATAACCTACTCAAGCACATGACTGACTAACAAGGCAGGAGGACCTGGCCACGTTCACTGAGAAGGTACTCTGGGAATGGCAAGCTGGATCGGGGCTGCCTCCTGCCCTTCAGGTGCATGGAAGTCAATGTGAAATGCACAACTATGGAACTGCACGTGGGGAGCGATGAATGGGTCACTTGAACGGGTCTAGAGAAGGGCTAGGGGTGTCAGGAGATCTCGAGACTGATGGACATGATGGGAGGTGTGAATTGAGGAATGACAAGTAAGGCTGGTGCAAGAAGAAAAGGAAAGGACACAGGACCGATGGGATAGAGTGGCCTGGTGCACCATGAGCTGGGCTCACGGAGGGGTTTACGTGGCGCCGGGTAAGTGGGCACGTCACCCACGTGATGCTGCCAGAGATGAGGCAAGCAAGCAGAGGGCATCCAGCTGGGCCAGAGAGGGAGGATGAGGGCTGACCAGCCAGGGGGCAAGTGGAAGGAAGTGAGGAGGAGAGACACGCAGGGCGCTGCGCTGATGGGACTTGGTGATGTATTGCTCCTGGACGGTGCAGGGGAGGACGAAGATGCAGCCAACCTTGGTTTCAGGATTACTGAGGCCATTCACTGAGATAAAGGAGCATGGGGGTCGGGGGTGCACAGAGGTTTGACCAAGTGGAGCAATGCATTGAGGCTTACAACAGTCAAGTCACTGCTATCCTTATCATTACTACCACTGTCCTCAGATTCAAAAATACACACAGTCGGACTAACTACAGTCTTCATTCTGACACCAATCAACATGAGTCCATGAGGGCTCTATTTTAGTATCTTCATTTAGCTTGTTAAGGATTCAGTGTCCATGCATAAGCCCACCTTCCAACCCACAACGAGAAGAGTAACTGTCACTTACATCCACTTGTTCTCCTCCCTGTGCCGGGCCAATGTCCCATACAGCCCCGGGACCTGGTGTTTCCCGCTGGCTCTTCCTTCTGAGGCTCTGATAGCCACTGGCTATGACCCGATCCTGGATTCAGGAGCTGTGCTTTGCATGGCCGCTGCCTTGCTCATAGCAGTAGAGTTCCTTCCACACAAATCTCAGCCCAGGAACTGACTCACCCAGGCTGTCCTTGCTGGGAAAAAAATGGGCTGGTATTAGTAAGAGATGAGCACCCAGTGGGGGCTGTCCCTGAGGTCATGGAAGCAGGAACTTGGAGGCAAGTGAGCGAGTACCAAAGGCAAGGCTCTAGGGTCGAGGGCAAGCCCAGGCAGCTGAGACAGCCCCTGCGCCCACGCCAGAGGGGAAGAGGGCACCCTGCCGGCTGGGCCAAGAGCCTGGCTCTGAGCTCTGCAGCCCACTTGTTGTATGCATTTGCAAACAAGCTATTTGGGGTGACTGTCAGGAGCAGGACGGGAGTTTTCCAGATGCTTTGCTGCAGGGCTTTGTGAAAAATTACCAAATTGGTAAACCTGGCCAGGAAAGTTTGGTAAGCTCTTTTGTCCTGATGAGCAAACCATAAACATGTGCTCCAGTGCGCTCAGGATGGAAACCTCTCACGATGGAAACCTCTCACTGAAAGAGGCCCTGACCCAGGCTCACAACTGGGAGACAAGGCAACCAGCCTCTGGGGTCAGAGCCGCTGCCAGCTTCTGCTTTGAACCCCCGCCCGTGTGTCCCAGGTACGGTGAGCAGTACTAGAGGCAGGTGTGGGGATGTGAGCTGCACCCCAGACTTGACGCAGGCCTGGGCTGTCTGCACTCATCTGAGCCTCAGTTTCTTTCTCTGTAAAGAAGGCCAGTGACACTCCCCTGCAGCACTGGGAGGCTTCAGCGAAGTGGCCAATGTGGCAGCACAGATTCCACCCATGTCCGCAAAGCAGGGAGGGAGGGACAGCTCCCTGGGGGCCTGCAGGGTTGGGCTGCAGAACCCGAAGGACCTCTGCCTCCCTTGTTTCCGGCTCACAAGTCTCATTTTTTTTTTCTTTCTTTTTCTTTTCTTAGAGATAAGACCTTGCTCTGTCACCCAGGCTGCAGTGCAGGGGCACAAAGCCATGCTAGAAAAGGGGGGGGGGGCGGGCATCCAAAGGTCCCAGAGATGCTCCCATCTCAGCCTCCTGAGTAGCTGGGACCACAGGCATGCACCACCACACCCAGCTCATCTTTTTATTTTTTGCAGAGACGGGGTCTTGCTATGTTGCCCAGGTCGGTCTCTTGGCCTCAAACTATCTTTCCACCTGGGTGTCCCAAAGCACTGGGATTACAGGCATGAGCCACTGTACCTGGCCCTCGCAAATCTCATTTCTTAAAGCTCAATTCCCTAGCAAGTCTTGATTTTCCTGCTCATCCCAGCCTTTGTCACACACCCCACTCTGTCTCCTGTTCCTCACGGTACAAATCTAAACCCAGGCCACACAGCCACAGTCCCTGAGAAAGGATGGCAAGGAGGAAGATTGGGAGGAGAAGCCAGGAGGCCTTTAACGCAGTAGCATGGGACCAGAGGCCCCGGGTGGTCCTTGGCACCCAACTCCATGGCTTTAGAGGGGTCGCTGCTACCTTTGGGACCCCTCCTCTCCAATATGGCTTCTCCAACTCTGATGAGCACCCTCCAGCTGCATAAACAGCTGGGTCATCTGGAGCATTTAATCTTTGGATTTGTGGCCTGCCGAGCAGTGGGGTTTTGCAGAGAGCAGTGGGGGCTGGGGGGGGGGGCGAGGCAAAGGGAATGTATAGGACAGCTGGGCGTGAATGAGAAAGGGGAGAGGCCAGGGTTGCAGAGAACAGGGAACCGCAGGACAGAAGGAGTCAGTTAAGCAGGCCTTTACAGAGTCTGAACTATGGTCTGGGGTTCCCCTGAGAACCTCACAGGAGAGTCCATCAATAAATGAAGCCAGGAGCCCAGCAGCATGGGGGCAGGGGGCAGTGCAGGGCAGCTGGGGCAAGGGATGCTACAGCAGGGAAACGTGTGCCCAGGTGAGCCTTTGTCCCCTCTGGGTGGCCACCAGCAGCCCCGGCTGGCAGGGGCTAGCTGGGATCACCAACTGCTGCCGATACCAGAAGCATCTGTCGGGACGGGGTCTGGGCCTGCTGCAGGAGCAGAGCTGTCTTTTATTTTACTGTGTTGAAAAATACTTGCTGGTAGGAGAAGCCTCAAATGCAAGAACAAAGAACATATCGCCAAATAGCCCCGAAATTACAATGAGGATCAGGAGCTCCGATGGACGGGGTGGAGGCGAATTCAGATGGGGTGGAGGTCAATGGGGACGGGGTGGAGGCGAATGGGATGGGGGGGGGGGTGAATGGGGGGTGGGGGTGAATGGGGGGTGGGGGTGAATGGGGGGTGGGGGTGAATGGGGGTGGGGGTGAATGGGGGGTGGATGCCTGCAGAGAGCACTGAACGTTGAGTCAGAGCTGCCTGGGTCCTGATTGTGGATATGATGGGCCCCGGGCCTCAGTTTCCTTGTCTGCACAGTGAGGAAGTGACATCACCCGCCCGGGACATTGCCCGGATGGAAGGGGAACTGTTGGCTCTGCCTGGGACACAGAAGCATGATATAACTTTCCTTCCATTCTCGCCGTGTCAGGGTCCACCCAGCGCCTACTCCCTGGGAGGAGGGTCAGCTGCCAGCTGCCCCACCCTCTGAGCAGGACTGCACCAGCCCTGGCCCTGAGTTCCCTTGCCTCCCAGCCTGGGCCAAAGCTCCCATCCCACTGAGTGTCTGCACACTTGTCCCATCCACTTCAGGACCAAATCAAGCTCCCTTCTGGCCTTGGGAGGGCTGGAGCCTTCAGCCAAAGGCCCGGTAGAAGAGCTGAAGAGGATGGCCGAGCTCACTCAAGTTTCATCAGAGAATCAAAACCAAACCTCGGAATTCTGTCTTGCAAACCATCAGCCTAGGTTTATTTTCAATCTTCCCTTCCCTTTTTGAGAGGAGGCCCCAGCGACCCCCACAAGGCAGACTCAGCTCTGGCCAGTGGCCATGGGGTTTCAAATTTCGAAAGGGGCCTTCTGCAAAACATTCAGTTTCAAGCTCTCGTTCGATTGCCCACATCCTGTCCAAGCTTCCTGGGGGAGTGAGATTTATTTAAGGAAGGAATCAGATCCCCCCATTCATGCCATTGAGCGAACACATGCTCCGTCCCAGGCAATTTCAAGGATTAAGGTTACATATCTCTTAATGAGTCGCAGGCGGAGGGCAAAGTGGAGCTGGCTGGAGGAGGAGGTGCTATTCCCCCATGCCAGGGACCCCGGTTCTCTGCCAGGGATATAATTTGTGCCCCGTATGACTGCACAATTATTCTTTTGTGCATTCACTCATTCTTTCATTCGACTAGCATTCTTACTGATCAGCCCCTCTGCACTGGGCTCTGTACTGGTCAGTGGGGGGTCTGAGGTGCCCAGGACAGAGCACCCACAGCCAGGGAGCTGAAGCTCTGGTTAGGGAAGCAGACACCTAAACAAATCATGACCAAGCAACAGAGGTTATGGATGAAGGTCAAATTCATGGCCATCTAACACTCAGAGTGCGGGGCGACATAGCCCACCTTGGGGACGGAAGCAAGCGAAGTCTTGCATTGTGGAGCAGTGTGAGGGTGGCCACGGAGAGGGCCAGGGGCAACAGCACAGAGACACGCACACCTGGAGACCTGGGGAGGCTCTGCAAGGCAGCACACGAGGCCAGGGAGCATGTAGCAAGAGGCGTGGCAGGAGGCCAATGAGCTGGGACTCTATCCTGGGGCCGAGGGGAGCCACGAGCAGGCTCTCAGGAGCTGGGACTCCGGGGCATGCATTCTAAAGAGACGGCTCTAACCCCACCTCCCCGAAGACAGCAGAGTGGAGGTGGGGGCAGAAAGACCAGCCCAAGATGAGAGAAGCCTGCATAGCATGGTGGTGGCTCAGATGAGAAGTGGGGACTCACGGGGATGCGCAGAGGAGGGATGGGTGCTTTGGTGAAGACTGAACGGCAAAGGCGGGAGAAGGCAGCAGGGATGATGCTTGGATGCCCGACGGCCCGGCCGCCTGCGGGGTACCACTGTTTCTCAGGCAACCACTTTAAGAAACTCAGAGTGAAAAACAGTGGAGGAAAAAGAAAAGGCCAACTCATATTCCAGTCTACCTTTAGTTTGTCATTTGGCAAAACATCGAAGAGAAATACTTGAACGTGGACCAGGGAAGACCAAATCCTGACACTCAGCAGAGACTTTGTAAACACGTGTGGTGCTTGAGTGAAGAGCAGGGTTCGAAGCTCACAACCACCCAGATCATTATCAAGCAGAACTCAAGTGACAGCCAAGCATAAACCCCCATGTCCAGTCACTTCTTTCCTCTTAAGATGTCCAAACGCCCCACGGACCTGAGCCCAGAGAGCCAAAGCCAATGGCCATCTCTGACCATGGCTAGAGCACTGTCCTCCCAGGCTCTCCTCAAAGCCCAGGAGAGAAGCAAGGCGACCTTCCCGTGAGAGGCAGGACCAGCCCAGCTGGCCCAGCTAATGACGGCCCCCAGGGCTTTGGCTTCATAGCACCTATCACGAGTGTAATTAAATACTTTTGCCAGAAACATTTGATTAAAATCTCTCACCCATGACTTGGAGCTCGGTAAGGGCAGAGGTGGTATCTGTCTGTCTTCTTGCTGTTTATCACCCAGCCTGTGGCATGTGGAAAGAACCCAATACTTTTCAATAAATGAATGGCTGGATGAACACCTAACTGACCTAACGTTTCCTGATGTCTAGGCCTTCCGGTGGGCTATAATGGCACAAAAAGAAGACCTTGTCCTCAGAAGCGCATAGCGGATGGTGACGTGGCTCTGGCGTGGGAAGGGACAGATGTGAACATAGGACTGTGGGAAGCTAAGGCGGAGGGCAGAGGGCTGTGAAGGTGGGAGAGGGGGTGACATTTGTGTCAGGCCCAGCACAGGCTGAGTGGCCAGTGGGAGGGATGTGAAAACTAGAATAACTGTAAGTTGCTGAATGCCGTAAGGTTGTTTTGCCTCATTAACCACATAATTCTGTGGGCAGGGGCAAGGGGTGTCAGTGACAACCTAACTCCTGTCTCCTGTATCAGCTTGCCGGCACCAGGCGAATCTCAAGGTCTAACCTAAAGCCATCTATACTGACGCTGCTGCCCAACCCCG